GTGGCACCTCAAAGATGACTCAATTATCTAATTCAAATCAGATTAGCTGATGAGATGCAGATCTAGTTGACAAATCGCTGGTCTATGGGCTGACAAGGCAACTTCTGAGGTAAGCTACTGTAAAAACGCTAAGCACATACACATACAGATACAAATACATATATACAATTATATTTTTGCCACGCTGTCTCTCTCTCTCTCTCACTCTATATAAACAACAACAATAACAACACTCGAGACAACTCAAAGTAGTTTTGGGAACGAACAAGGCAAAGAGGGAAAAAAAGCACAAATGAAATATGAAAAGTAAAATATGTGTTTGAACAAAAAATGAAGCCAAAGCAGCGGAGGGGGAGGGGGAAGAGCAGGAAAATAGCAGCAGATTGTCAGTTCATCGATGGACCCGAGGCTATAAGAAGCTGCAGTCAGCGACAGTCCAAGGCAGCAACAGCAAGAGCAACAGATACTTAGATACAAATGTATCTATAGCTATGCCTGCGTGCAGCTAGTGTGCCAGAGTGCCTGTGTGTAAGTGTGTGTGTGTGTGTGTGTAGTTGTGCCGTGGCCTCGTGGACTATTACAGAATATTTTTATTGCTGCGTCGCGTCAGCTCCACGCACAGCGAAAGCCAGAAACTCGGTCTCTAATATTCTATTTTTGAGTTCAATTCTTGACAGACAAAAAAATACAACAGAAATTGAAATTTGTTTTTTTTTTATTGCGTTTCAGCGTAAATAGGAAAATGTCATTTAATTGTTTTTGCAGTTTTCCTTTCTATTTGTATATATTTTGGTTGCAGTTTTATTTTTGGCATGAGTTTTCAGATGTTTTTTATAGAATTTTTGCAGATTTATTTATTATTTTTATTTTATTTTTTAGATTTTTTTTGCTTGAGTTTTGCAGCAATTTGCATTCAATTGCTAATTGCGCTTTAAATGCTAATTAGCTGTGTTGCCAATTTTATAGACTATGTTTATTTGCGCACTTTTTTATAATGAACTATTTTTTATTTGGCAGTTTTTATTTGGATTTTGATTTTGGCTTTTCATTTTCATTTTCATTGCGAGTTTCAGTTTCGTTTTAATTAAATTTTGATTGCACGCACGCGCATTTTTGCCATCGTCGTCATATCAGATGCAATTTTTTGGCTTGTTGGCGACGTCACAAGAACAATGCACTCTCACTCACTGACACACACACACTCACACATTCACGTACACTCACACTCATACACACACCTGCAATTTGTACGCTGTGCACTGTCAGCGACTACGACTGCGACTACAAATTCTGACAGCCTGTTGGTTGAGTTGACCACGTTCGCGATGCGAATTATAATTGTTACTCTCGCTGCTCGGTGTGCTGTTTTCACGGTTCGGTTTTTCATATACAACAACAGCAATAGCAACAGCAACAGCAGCAGCAACAACAACAAACATTCAACACTTAGCCACAAGTCGTTTCATCCAAAAAGTTCGCAAAAGCAGCGAAAAGTCGCTGCTGCTGCTGCTGCTACGTTTGCCTTAGCTATAGCTCTTGTGGCTTTCATGGAAAATGGAAAATGTATGACACACACACACACCCACACAGACATGCCCCCTTTACAGACACACATATTTATTTAGTACCTATACCTAGAGTTCGCCCACACACACGCTTATAAATGTTGTCTGTCTGTTTTGGCTAATCGCGTATTTTGATACAGCCTCCAACTAAAGAGCCTGCACAAGGCAATAAATATTAGTCACACACACACACACTAACGCACAGTCTTGGCCAGCTAATTAACTACACTATAACAAACTGTTTATATACACACATAAACATCTATATATGCATATATATATATATATATAGATCCACCTATACAGCTGTTGTACCAAAATCTATATATTCAAATACTTTTCTTTTCAAAATATTCAATATTTATTTTTAGATTTTTGTAAAGCCATTTCAATACGGACTCGAATATACACTAACCGAGCGCCAAGTCATGCTGAATATATTGTAAAGCTTGTTTAATTTCATCAAATTTTGGCTCTTCACAAGCTAATAAACAGCTTAACAGACAACAAAATTCATATGCGCATTCATGTTCAAGTGGGATTCTTATTAGCCTACAAGCTCTTTTACCCAATTGGAACGTATTAATTCAAGCATTTGCCTGATTCTGTGTACGCCCCGTCTCACCCTCTCTCTCACTTTCTCTCTCTCTCAGTTATTCATAGCTTTGGCTTGTTATTTATCCATGGCGCATCTCTTCCTCCTCTAGCCCAATTTTATGGGCTAATATTTTTGGAATTCTTGTATTTTTGTTCGCTTTGGCTGCTGCTGCTGCTGTCCGTTAAGCAAATACAAGCTGTAATTGTTGTTGTTCCGGTCAAATGAAGCGCACAGCTGTTTTGCTTTTTTTTCGGCGGTTTATGGGATTTGATGCGAGGCGGTCAAGCGCAGCAATTAGTGCATTCGCAGTGCCTGATATGCCTGCTCGGCGCATACACCTGGCTGGCACTCAATGGCCTGCTCTGTCAGGTGATCAATCCCAGCGGCAGTGCAAAAAAAGCCATTCGCAGAGCACCTGACAGCCAACTAAGCTGCTTGAAAATTCATTTTAGTATTTCACGCTAGAAAGCCAAACACAAAAAAAATATACATATATACAGTGAAAAAGCAACAAAATTTATATATTTCTGTATATATATCTATATGCTTAATGTTTGTGAATGATTAATGGGACATTAGAATTGAAATTGTTTTGCTTGTGTGGCAGGAGCCAAACCCGAGGCAGGTGCAACGCCAGCTGAGACTGGGGCTGGGGCGGGGGCAGCCTCTCTCTCCCTCTCTTTAGTTTGCCATAATGTACAAATATTTATATGCCTTTTTTTTTCTTTCTTTCAGCTTTCTGGCACTCCTTTACCCGTTCCCGCTGCAAATGGATGCGGCCTTCTATGAGCAGCTGCTGGCTGGCAGCTACCTGCTGGCAGAGCCGCAGCCAAACAGGTGAGTGTTTATAATATGCATGCCAAAGTGTAGCAGCTGAAATCTAGAGAAAATAGAAACAGCAACAACAGCAACACAGCTAGCTTATGAGCACATACTGGCACTAATGTGGCATAGAGTATATTATAGTGTAGTATGTGCTTAATATCCATAATTATAGTTATTGTATTTGCATACCCTGCAAGTGAGTGCTGAAGGAGTCTGCTGGACAGCAGAGATAACAGAGGTTTCATGGAAGAATTTAAGATGTTAACATAGCATAATATAGTTAAGATAAAAAGCTGATTATCAGATTTTGGGGTTGCATATTTACTATAGTCGACATTGAAAGCCATAACAAAATACCGACAATTAGTAGAAAGTCTTCAGTCAATATAAATTTCCCAGTGAAAACCTTGAGATTTTACTTGGAATTTCACTGACCTGACTTCGAGTCTGAATTCATGGGAATCGCCTAGAAAGGCAGCATATTATGTATATGTTTATATGTGAGAGCAAAATAATTGCGTAAACATGCTCTAAAGCTTCGCTACTTCCAATCAGAGCATGACGGCAAACAGAGCTAGCCTGAATTCATGAGAATCGCCAAGAAAGCCAGCTTGACACAATGTACACACATGCATACATATATACATGTATGCATTTGTATATAGCAATACAAATACACATATGGCTTGCACAATCCTAATAGAAAACATATGGGCCTCACTTTACTTTCATGAGAATCGCCAAGAAAGGCAAATATTAAACAATTCTTTCCTTTGAATTGGCAGCGTTGCAAAAAGTAAACTTTCGTCTGCTTCTGAAGTGTATATATACGACAAATATATATGTATATATGCACGAGTATATTGTATACACACCCATGTATATACGTATTTCATATTTTCATCAAGGGGCGACTTCAGCTCATATTGCTGTTTACACAAGTTTAATATACATTATAGGAATTTGCTTAAGTTCGGCGGGCGTTTGTTAAATACTTGCACACGTCGAGATGGAAGGGTGAATCTGAGTGTAGTTATGTATGTGTGTGTTAGGGGGCGGAGGAAGCCTTAGAGAGCATATTCGAAAGACCAAAACCAATCCAATCTCCAGCTGTTATTCGGCTGTTCGTTTGGGGCGAACTTTGCCAAATTGCAGAAGCCACAAAACCCAAAAACAGTTTGTCAACTGAGGCGCTGCGGTATGCGAATTGTCAAGGGGCACCAATCTAAGATTGACTAAGAGTTTCTCAAATTTCTTAATAAACTTTAATGACTGCGGGTGTTGCAGTGTCAGCTGCAGTTGTTGCATGCCTCCATTGTTGTTGCCGCTGTCGTTGCCGTTGCTGCAACTTTGATGAAACTGATAAACCGAAACGCCCGAAAGTATGCAACGGCGACGGGCAAGTTGTGAGGACAGCAAGCGCTATAAACCAACACCACCCTGGTGCCCGTTGGTTGCTTGGGCGGGTGGGTGGTCGGGTGGTTGCCTGGCTGTAGTAGTAAAAGCAGGTTGAACATTTTTCGCCAATATCAAATGCGAGCGTAGATTTTCACCAATAATTTACTTGGCCAGCACGTAGCGAGTGTCACGCATGGAGCGGTTGGGCATATTGAGGTGGGGCGGCAGGCGGCAGGCGGCTGGTGGCAGAGGCTGTGTGGCATGCAACAGACTTGGGTTACCAGCTCATGCATTACTCATGATGTGGATGTCAGCAGCCTGCTGCCCGAATGACTGACCCACACTCCATCTCCTCCTGCGCCACCTCCGCCTCCTGTCCGCCCTTTGACTTGCCTTCAAATCGTCTTTGCTGTCTGCCACACTTGCCACACTTGCCGCACTTGCCGCATGGCAACTGTTTTAATATGGACGCTGCGGTTTTTGCAGTTTAATGGAGTTGCCCATAAAAAAAACGAGACTGAGTTTATTTTAACTGCCGACTTGTTTGCGCAAATTAACACATTTATTTATGCCACAAATTTGTTGCTTAAATATTTATCGAAAATAAAGCCGAGTTAACATTAAAAATTTGCGTTTATTTCCATACACATTTAATAGATATATATAATAATAATAATGATAATAGTAATAATAATAATAATAATAATAATAATAATTATATTATAGTAATAATAGACGAATAGTATCACACACACATATGATATGGCTTTCAGACAGGCGCTCACAAACACACACATGCACACACGCACACCAACATGCAGAAGCACACATACACACCCGCACACACTCACATACATTTACACAATACACTGACAGCATTGGTTAAGAGTTTTGAATAGCGCATTTATTTCGTTTAGGATGAGTGGCGCCTGCATCAAGCTTAGATTTATTTGATTTACTTTGATTTTCATTTTTGGGTTTCCCATTTGAACTGGCTAAACTCGTATATCTTTCATTTGTAAATTCGCTGGGTGGTTGCATGCCGTGCCAGGAGCAGCAGCGCGAGGGCCAAGCAGCCAGAGCTGAGCTCGGCCAGCGATGAGCCGCTCTGCAGCGGCAGCTGCTCCGACTCCAGGCACAGTCGGAACTCGTCGTAGTCCAGCCGCGTGATGGCGCAATAATGATTGAGCATGCACAGGCCCAGGCAGGGCGAGCCGGACTGATAGCGGACAGCATTGGCGCGATGATATCTAGAGCAGAGGGAGCAGAGCATAAGATGGAGCGGAGCTGGACGAGCTAGCTGGCTCGAGAACTCTTTGATTACCTGCTGAACCAGGAGGCATCCCTGCCCGTGAAGCGCTCCGCAAAGTTGTGCAGCGCAATGGACGAGATCTCGGCCAGCGCATAGTAGTGCGTCAGGTTGTACTCGGGCTGCCAGAGCGGCTCGTGGGCGCGATTGGCCAGCGGCAGGTCGAGAAAGTACTGCGTGTAGTCCAGCACCTGGCCGCTGCCCGTGTCGAACTTGTAGAGCCGCAACGCTGGATTGTTGGGGCCACCGAGGCCCTCCTTGCGCGGCACCACCGACGGCGCTATCATCAGCCACGAGATGGGCGTGCCTGCAAAAGCCGAGTTGTATATGGGTCACTGGCATTGCCCAAGTCTTGTCCATTAAAAATTACCTTGATCGTCGTAGATCAGCCGAAAGGTGTCCGAGTGCAGATGCCCAAAGAACTGGCCCTGTATGACAGACGCGTATCTGCGCACCAGCTCCAGATAGCGTTGATTGTTTCGCTCGGTAAAGATCAGCTGGCCATTGTGCTGCGGCCCCATGTTCCGCTCATCGACGCCCGGCGGCATGTGACCCACTATGTAGACCTAAAGGGTATATATAGGACAAATATATAATAGAACTCTTAAGCTATATAAATCAGACATAGATAATAAAGCTTCCTTCATCCCTACTGTGTGATGTCCTATCTCTTTCTGACACTCTAAAGTCCCATCTCTTTCCCACACTTACCCATCGATAATATATCTGTAATTAAATATTGTCTGCCTACCGTCTCCTGTTTGTCCCTGGACTTGGCCAGCACCTCATCCAGCCAGAGCCACTGCTGCTCGGCCTGCTGTTGATCCTGCAGCTGATCCTGGATAGACATGGTGCGACTCGATGCCTTCGGCTCCACGGCGTATTCGGCGGGCCAGCGCAGGCTGTGCGCCGGCTTTACCTCTGTCTCGTAGTCGTAACGCATGAAGTTCGTGTTGAGGGCGACGATGCGTAGTCGACTTCTGGTCTGCTCGATGGAGTAGTAGCCGCCCAGCTCGAAGGTGACGAGCGCGTCGGTGGGTAGCCAGTGGCGCCAGAGCTCGCCCATTTGCTTGTACTTGTGCAGGCCGCTGCTGCCGTCCTCGTGGCCGAGCACTGGGAAGATGAAGGGCGAGGAGAAGCTGCGTCCCAGCAGCTCTGTGATGTTGCGCAAGGTCTCGAGCTGCTTCTGCTCGGAGAGGGCCTGGGCGGAGTGCGAGAGTGCATCGCCCGTCCATAGGACAAACTCGACGTTGTCGCCCTGCTTGGCCTTCATGGTCTTCACCGCCGACTCGACCAGGCTCCAGGGACTGTCGCAATTGTAGTGGCCGAAGGGGCCCGGCGACTCCGTTGCCGCCTCCTGCCGCCCGCCGGCGGGGGAGGCGGCCGTGTGCGGCAGTTGCCAGCAGCTCTTGTATATGTCGCCATGCGTGGAGTAAAATGTGTCCAGATGCAGGTCGCTGATGTGCCAGAAGTAGCCTGCGAATGCAGAGTGGAGAAATTGAGAAACTCTGAGGATTAAGGGAGCAGCCCATTGGGCAAACCCTGTGCGGGAAATGCCAGTCGGCCAGCCGGATAGCCGGCTGGTTGTAAAAACCCTTGCATACAATTCGTTGGCCTGGCCAATCGACTGACCTGACAGCCCTGGTCCAGCTACCTGGCAGAGAGGTCAAGAAGTCACTTGATAGACAATGCGAGCCATTGAGGTGATCGGCGCCAGAGCCAGTAAATCAGTTAGCGTTGGCATGCGCACTGATCAATTTGCAAGCGAGAGCGTGAGTCGAGCTGAGAGTCAGGGAGAGACAGGAACTAGGATACATAACCGCCCGGTTATAGAGAGAGAGCGAGTCCGGAGATCGGGATTTGTATGAGAGCAAGATGAGTTTGCGCTTCAATCTGGCGCTTCTGCTGATGTTGGCCATGCTGACCCAGTTGGTCGACGGCAGAAGGAAGCTGTGTGGCGATGCACTCAACGAGGCCCTTGACCTGATATGTGTTAATGGATTTTCACACAGAATCAAGCGCGATTGTAAGTACCAAAGCCATTCAATCAAATATCAATTCAGCTACTCAATGCCAGCTTTAAAGCGGACCGAAGCCGACTGCTGCTGGTACTGAGGCAACAACTGGACACCGGCGAAAAGCCGCAGGCCCCGGCGGAGCGGATCAATGGGGCCGGCGTGGAGCGGGTGCTGAGACGTTCGCGGCGCAGGATAACGCACAAGTGCTGCTGGAATGGATGCACCTACGACGACATTCGGGAGTACTGCGCCTAACCCAAAGGAATCGACTTGATGACGACGATGGCAACACTGATGATGGCAACAATGATGATGGCAACAATGATGATGGCAACACCGATGATGACGATTTAACTGACGAAGCAAAACCAAAAATTTCACTCAACTACATTTAACCCCCTCTAAAACAAAACAAAAATATATATATTTTTAATTAAATTCGCAATATTTTATTGTAATATTTCATGGAAGCAATAAAGTTACTCGATAACAATAGCAACAAACAAAAGGCATCTTTTGGCCCAAAGACTACCTCCAGCCAGGCATTGGACCACACGCTGCGCGGCAACAGCTCCCGCCCCCCATCCCCAGCGAGCCCAGTCCACAGAAATTTCCACGTCAATGGGAATGCTGTGCCCTTGCATTCTCGGAACAATAATGAAAATTTTGAATTTTTAATTAGATGACGTTGTTATTTTAATAGAACAACAAGTAGCAAATGGGGTTACGACGACCCCTCTATACTCTGAAATTACAAAATTGAAGAAGTTGAAATAGAAATAAACGAATTTCTATGTGCTAATTATAGAAACACAAAGATAACAGCGCGAGTGGCGCTCATTAACATAGCAGACCGGCTTAACAGTCAACTGTTAGCTGCAGCAGCTGTCTTCTGTTAACTGCAGCAGTTTGATATGTAATAGGGGCTGTTCACATAACAGCGCACTGTTAAGCATTTGTTTATGTTTGTTAACAGTATGAGTACACTGTAGTGGCCTCAATTCGAGACAAACCTTAGGACCCACTGTTAGAGCATGGGTAAACAACATTATGTGTCATGTGAGTGGAGACAGGGCGTGGCAGGGCGGGCAACACTTCACTTTGTTTTTCAACAAAATGCGATCTATGTATCTACGCGTAATTATTTTGCACGGCACAACATAAACAAAGACGTCAGCTGATATGAGTGAAAGCATCCCATATAAGGCAGCGAGGCAGGTCCCTCCCCCTCAGCAGAACTGACACTTGACCTAACACTGGCTGACAGTGCCAGCTGGGTGGCTGCAGTGGCTCCGCTTAACATATAAAATGCTGCTGTGCCGCCAGCCAGCGACCAGTTCTAGTTGGCTTATATGCGAGGCAAACACCATGAACTTCCAGTGCTCCAAAATGCAGTGCCTGCTTTGCGGCCTAATGCTACTCGTGCTGCACGTGGAGGCGATAATGCTGTGCGGCCCCAAGCTGGACGAGTTTCTAATCCAAATGTGTAAAAACGGCTTCAACAGCAAGATGAAGCGCGGCTATGGTGAGTAGTAGGCTTTCCCCACATGAATTTCATTCTTCACTCTGTTGATATGTTAGACCCAGTTGGACCCAATGCCATTGATGCTGTCAATATGGACTTGGATTTGGACAACTATGGCGTCTATCCGCATATGAATCTGGACTCGCAGCCTCTGATGCGCGCTCTGATAAGCGAGAGTGCCCACCAATTGCAGATCCGTCGACGTCGATACGGCATCCATGACGAGTGCTGCATGAAGTCCTGCACCTTCAACGAGCTGCTCTCCTACTGCAAGTAACCGACCCAAGATGATGATGAAGAAGAAGAAATACTTATACTCCTGCGAACTTGATATGGACAAGGCACTGCATTCCACTGTGGCTTAGACTAAGACCAGCTCCTGTTTGTCAGCTTCTAAATGTTTAAATATATATAACTACTAAACGAACTCTAGCTCTATGCGAATACTGTTTCACAAACGTCGAGGACATGCTTGTACAATTTATTGCTAAAGGACATATGGCAAATTTAATAATATAAATTTATGCTTCACAATTGAAAAGGGAAACTGTTTGTAATCGAGGCTAGAGTAAGTAAAGTTGTCGATACCACAAGTAGAATTAATTACCCATAAATTATTTGATCAAAAATCGACATAATTTGAATGGATTGGAATTCTCCAAAGTTGCTAAACGAATTGTTCTGGCCGGAAAATACAGTTATTTATGCTTGAATATGAATATTTGCTTAGCAGCTCTTTGGCTGGAATTCTTGAATATGCAAGCATATTATTTGCTCTCAAATCGAGGTTAGCTCAGCTGCATTTTTCAAATAAATTTTGTATTTTATGCAAATTCAATGCAAATGCAATTTACAGCCTTGCCTTAGTTTGGCAATTCGAAACGAAATATCCTGTTTAACATCTTTAAGTTTAAAGTTGTCAAGAAAAGCTTGAAGAAAGTTTAACTTGTCTAATTTTGTTTCACTACATTATTTTTTTCTGCTTCTTCTTCTTCTTCTACTACTCTTTCTCTCACTAAATACGAAAAGCTTCGTTTAACGAATTTTATTTATGCAGTTGGCTTTTATTTTGAAGCGTCTATAATATAAATACAATATGTGGCTGGCACAAGGTAGGGTAGAGTTTCAAGGTACTGTGATCGCGGTGTTTTTGTGTGGGTGGTGGAGCCTGGCTAGCCCGGCAATCTAGACGGCGCAGTAGGCGTTCAGCTCGGAGAGCTTACACGACCTTCTGCAGCACTCGTCGACGATGCCCTCGCGGGTGCGGCGCCTGGTGGAGGTCAGGGAGTTGAGCACGTTGTCCTGGTAGATGTTGCGCAGTCGGCCATTGGTCATGGGATACGGCAGCAGCTCGGCAGAGTTCGAGGGCAGCTCCTTCTCCTCGGTGAACTGAATGGGATCGAGTGGGTCCAGGTCCATGAAAGCTGATGAAAGCAGCGCCATCAATTGGGGAACAGTTAATGCCCGATCTACTCAGCAGGTGGATGGATACTCACGCATGCTACGCTTCTGGATGATGCGATTGAAGCCCCTGGTGCACATCCTGCTCAGCATGTCGTTCAGCCGAACGCTGCACAGGCGCATCTCGTGGTCGCAGCTAACGACCGCCAGGGTGCACAGCACACAGAGGAGGGCCAGAGACAGCGAGGAAATTGACTTGCACATTGTACTGGGATTAGGCTATGCTATGGAACTGATGCTGCTACCTTCGCGCTCGCGCGCTTATATACCGTACACCTCGACACTGTCTGCGGTAAGCAGGTGCGGGCGCTGCCCAACTACTTGGATGTCAAATTGTGTTAAAGGTTATTGGGACAAGTTGAGTGCATTTTCGAGTAGCTACTTGCTAAATTCGTTCAATGTCAGCGTTCACTTTTCGTTGGCTTATGCAAATGGCGCCGCTGTCTGGGCGTGGGCGGAGTGAGTGGAGTGAGTGGGCGGTGCTGTGGTGCTGTGCTGGTGCTTACGTCTTTGTCAGCCAATTAAACAATTTGGGTGCCAAAGGACAACATAAGGTCCTGGCGTATGCGTGCAAAGGCTTGCCTTGCCTGCATTTATGAATATTAAATGAGTTAGTCGGAATACCCTGTAGCCAGCGCTAATTACAAACGGGCATACACCGTGGCGGCTGACATACTAAGCTATGCTAGCTTTAAGGCGCTGCGCTGCTCTGAGCTCCTAACTAGCTAATACAAATTTGTCTCGCCCATAACACTTCATTGCGATTAACCTTTGCCCACGCTCAACCCCCTTCCAACCATTTTCCAGGAAGAGTTCTCTGCTTGAAACGAGTCTCAATGTTGCGTAACATTCGAGCTACCCATAATCACAAAATTTAATGATGGTTCCTCTGGGGAAACATTTCAAACAGAAAAACAAATGAATAGCAAAAAAAATTTACTTCCTCTTAAAGCAGATTTCCTCTTTGCATTGAATCGCATATGCGTATGCGAGCCCCGCGCTGGGTTAAAACTGGAAGCGAGTGTTAGAGCTGGCAGTACAAATTCATAGCATACTTATTGAAGGTTGCTCAACATTGCGTAGGTGGAATGTGGAAGAGCCAATTGCTAACCGAGTGAAGAATGACGAGTTAAGAGCGGAGAAATCGAAGGAACGGCGAGCAAAGAAGAAAGACGTCAAAGATATTCGACGTAATAGAATAACAATAGAGTTTAGAGTGCTTCAAATGTGAAAGTTTGTCTGTAGATTTTGATCCGTTAGAGACAGACTCTTAGGGGAGCTGGCCTTATGACAGATTTTTATATACAATAACTTGATTTTTGGGCAAATATTCTACAGTCTAGAGACCCAATGGTGTGATATTTATACTGCCTGGAATTTAAATATGTCCCTACTTAAACTTATTATCTTTAATGGAAAACACTCGGAGATAGTTTTGCACTGAGAGGAGACACAGAAAGTCAATGGGAGGCAGACAATGACATATCGACTCTGGTAAACATGTTTCTCTCTGTGGATGACTCTAGTTTTTTACATCGTAATACCCTCTGCTCATACTGCTTAAAGGGTATGTAGGAGAGAGCAGAGCATTACCTTTAAGTATATACCATATCACAACAACAAGTGACGCCTCTCGCCATACCAAGCCAAGGCCAGCCTTTGTGTGGCCTTCATGCATTACACACTAAAATATTACATTTAAAGGGTATATAGCTAGTCAGAACACTTGACTTGTCTTCGCCTTCGCCCTATGCTTACTTACCGATGCGGGCGCTGGCCTCATCTGGCAGCCAGAGCAGTGGCAGGAGCGTGGTTAGCAACCAGCCCAAGCTGAAGCTGAAGCTGGAGCTCGAGCTCGAGCTGGCGCTGGCGCTGGAGCTGGAGCTGGAGCTGGAGCTGAATATGAAGTTAGTCATTTAGCTGCTGTTGCTATTCGACGGCTGGACGTGTGTGGGGACGGTAGGCGGGCGTGTCAGGCAGGTAATGGAGCAGGAAGCGGCTGTGGATGTGGGTGTGGAGCAGGAAGTGGAAGTGGAACTGGTAGTGGAAGTGGAAGTGTTTGCTGCGTTGAAATGGAAATTTCTTGCTAACTTTTGCTTTAGCTTTCTGCTGAGCCGTGAAACTTTTCTGCACAGTTTTACTTTTATTCATTAGCTAAATTTGGTGCTGCATAAATAAGTGATTACGATTGCGATTACGATTATGATTACGATAACGAATACGATTATGATGGCGATTAACAAATAGTATATATGTATGTGTGTATGTATGTGAGTATATGCGTATGTATATGTGTATATGTCCTCGACTGTCCGCCCATGTCCTTGACTAGCGACAATAGGCCAAGAGCTCGGACCGAGTGCAGGAGTTGCGACAGCACTCGTCATAGATGCCGCCGCCCTGTCGCCGCAGCCGTCGCGTCTTGATCAACACCTCCGCCCCGTAGAGGCTGGAGAGCAGGGGGCTCAGCGCAAAGCCCTGGTGCGAGGGCGCCAGCTCGAGATCGCGCTCCATCGGTATTGTGTTGTAGCCATTCACACAGACCATGTCCATGGCCTCGTTCAGGGCGGGGCCGCACAGCTTGTGCTTGCCTTCGCGCAGCAGCTGCGCTATGTTGCTGGCGCTGCAGCAGCAGCTGCCCAGAGCGATCAGCAGCAGCAGCAGCAAGCAGAGACGCTGACGCCGACGCTGACGTTGCCCTGTGGCAGTTGCATGAGGTGCGTACAACATTATTGCGGACGGCTGTTTGAGAGCGTTTGCCTAAATGCCGCCAGCAGCAGGCGCTATTTATACAAGCCTGCCGCATGCAACAGCAAAAGCAGCAGCACCAGCAGCAGCAGCAGGTTCAATGCACTTTTTGGTTGCACAAATATTTGGCAAAGGAGCGAGGAGTGAGGAGTGCGTAAAGCCGCACTCCGCAGAGCTAAAGGCAGGCAAACAACAACAGCTCACACCAGTCACCCAGAGAGAGAGAGAGAGAGAGTGAGGGGGGGAGAGAGAGTTAACGCTAAAAGGCTGCGACTGCTGCTGTCCCCAAGGATTACGTTCGCTGCCAATGAGGCAGGCAACAGCCCATGTGGCAGCTTCATTAGCATGCCAAGGGAGACGGTATGTGTGTGCGTCTGCGTGTGCGTGTGTGTGCGTTGCCTTTTGCCAGGTGAAAAGTATGCTTCAGTTGGCTGCTCAAACCGCTGCGAGCGATGGCCAATCGATAGTTGGCACTGCGCCGATTGCGGCGCCAATCGGTGGCAACAGTTGGTCGCCAACGTCACTGAGCAAACGGTCGCACTTGCAGTCGGTGTGGAGTTCCCATTGTGTTATTCAAGCTATTCAGCAGCGAGCAGAGTCCAGGTGACCGCAATATGGTGATCGATATCAAAATGTGCCGCTTTGACAATGTGCCCTGGGGCTTTCGGCTGGTGGGCGGCGCTGACTACGACTATCCACTGACTGTGGTTAAGGTTAGGCACGTTCATAATAATAATAATAATAATCGCACGGCCGATGATCATTAACGTGTGCCATCTGCACCACCTGCGCTACCTGTGCAACCGCCGCGGCCACTGCCAAAAGTGACCGCAACAAAGTCTAACGGTTTCGCATGCTGCTGTGCATTACAATTATTGTTGCATTAACTTTTACTCTGTGAATTTGCCGCAAATTAATTGCAAATATTTCAATGTTCGAGCCAATTATGTAACTCTCTGTGCGTGCGTGTGCGCTAGTGTGTGTGTGAGTGTGTGTGTGTGTTCTAGTGTATGTGTGTGTTTATTTATTTGCATTTGCATTTGCATGCTCATTCGTTCGAGGGCTTATTTGCAAAATTTTGTTAATTAAAGTAAACTCAATGCAGAATACCAATGGCTCTATGCGTCCGTCCGCCTGTCCGTCCGTCTGTCTGTTTGCCTAATCGGCTGGCCGAAATGCATTTTTGTGTTAATGAGCCGCATAATGCGAATGCAATAAATTAAATTCAAATTTTCAAATGCGCCTGCGATTCATCATCAACAGACGACGAATTAGCAATTGTGTTGAAAGACAACAACAACAACAACAACAATAGAAACAACAATAGTAGCTAAAGCTTTAGCAATATTCGCTTATTTGCAAAAATAGCAACAATTAAAATTTTTTTAATTGCCAAACTGCAACAGACATTTGTATATATAGATAAACGCTAGCGAGGGCTGTTTGATCCGTTGAGGTTTTATATATTTCAATGTTTAAAATAAAAAAAAAAAAATAATATTTCTCTTTTTAAGCCAAATGTCTTAAATGATTAAAAATAAATAATATTTTCCTCTAGAACCAAATATCTAAAATTATAAAAATAATATATTATTATTATTAAATATTATTTGTTGTTTACAATTTAAGACATTGTGTTAAATGATAATAAAAAAAATTAATATTTTTCCTCTAGAACCAAAGAGTGAATATTCATAATTTATCAATTTCATAATATAAAATTCAATAGCCTTTCGTATAATGTCTTTAAACTGAATTTTATTTATTGTTGGAATTCAAAAGATAAACAAGTCCTTAGACTAAACATTCAACTCAAGTTCAAGCTGTTCGTCTTATAATTAAAACTTATTTAGCTACAGATATTTAAGCAAAATATTTTGCCTAACTGCAACCGAATTATTGAGAAAACAAAGAGCAGACGAGACAGAGAGTTTGCCTCAGCTTTAAGATAAACGGCTTAGTCAGAGTTTTTTTGTTAATTAAAAAATTATGCATATATGTATATGTAAATATACATATACATACATAAATAAAAGGAAAACTAAGCTGCATTATTTTTCAAGTATTTGTTATAGAAAAAAGCTAAGTTCCCATAGTCTATAGCATAATTCAAAATAAATTTAGTATTCTAAACATATATGTATATATCATATATCCCACACTCCATTTCCTTCATCCACTTAGCTCTTTAATAATCCATCTAATTTCACATTCTACTCAGATTTTGCTGTCATAAAACGTGCATTTACCAACACTAAAATAATAGCAAAACAATCTGCTGCTTTTCGCTTCTTCTTGACTTTTTGTTGCTTTCTTAAAGATTGCCAATCCAAAGAAACTTTCAGCCACATTAAACGGATGTGAAAAAAGAACAACAAAAACTTGCTTGGCGCTCTCTTATAAAGCGACCCTCCGTGCGGCATGCCGCATCGAGTGGCGTATTGTCTTGGCAGCTGCCACGCCCGCTGCCGCTGCCAGTGCCGCCCCTTGGAATCGCTTCATCTGATCTCTGTGTTTTTGTTGACATTTCGCGCGCATTTTATTTATATGCACTTTGCGAGCGACGCCAGATAATTGATTTTGTATCTAAAATACTTTATCGCATCTCTCTCCATCTCCCTCTCTCTCTCTCTCTCTCTCTGTCTCTGCTTCGCTGGGTGACAGGTCACGGAGGGCAGCATCGCCGAGGAGGCGGGCCTGCGCGTCGAGGATGTGATTGTGCGTATCAATGATACGGCTGCCATGCCCCTCACGCACGACGAAGCCCATCGCCTAATCATGAGCAGCGGTAGCGTGTTTTATTTCGGCGTGCATCGGTAAGTCGAACCGTTTGTTCCGTTACAGCCATTTGTCATAGGCCTAGCACCCATAGCGAACGTGAGGAGGAGGAGGAGATCTATGCGGGTCCCAAGCGCTTCCCAGTGAGCGCCAGTTCTTTGACCATGTCACCAACCGCATCCGCATCCGCAGCCACCTCGCCTTTGCCGTCGCTAACGGAAGCCACAAAAGCGTTCATGCCGGAACAGGAACAGGGCGAGGTTGCGCAACTGGAGGCGAATGTGGAGCTGGAATGTCGCAGCGCTGTGACGGAAATGCATTCGCATGCCAACGAGGACAGCCAGAACAACCAGGCGGAGCAGCAGAACCAGGCGGAGGCATCCACCAGCGTTGGGCAGGCAACGAATGGTGGCCTCTATTTGCCCGATTTGCCCGATCGGCCGTGCTCGGCGATGTCAGAGCAGACGGAAATTAAGCTGGTGGAGGAGGAAATTGCCGCAGTGCTGTCCGGCGAGTCGGAGGTGCTCAAGGAGCACAATGTGCTGGGGTGCGTTGACAGACAGCCAGACATGGATGCTCTTGCGAGCCTTAACCTGTTTCTATCTCATAGCGTTAATTTCTACAGAATCTTTCCCAAGCCGGGCGTCTGCATGACCAGCGACGTGCTGCGCTCGCTCAACGAGGAGGTGACCAAGACCAAGCTGGAGAAGGAGAAGGAGAATCGCAAGTGGTCCACGTTCCTCCAGCGACCGGATCGACCCGTCCCCAAGAGCAAGCAGCAGCTGGAGGCGGAACGCCGGGCGGCCAATGCCTACAAGGTGAAGATTGTGAAGTCGGCGCCACGCGACAAGTCGCCCATGGTGAGTAGCGTTCCATGCAAAGCACATAGCAAAGAGACACTGAACAGGCCGCAACTTAAGCCTGTGACAGCCGGAAGCCAAGCCAGCCCCAAAGGAAGCCACCCCACCACAACCGGAGCCAGAGCCGGAGCCGGAGCCGGAGCAGAAGCAGAAGCAGAAGCAGGTTGACCCGGTGGATGAGGAGCCATTGCCCACGGACAGCGAAGTCCCGAATTTGGAACAATTGCCAGACAATGGCAACAACGCGACGCCCGAGGAGACGGATGGCGAGCAGTTAGAGAAAACGGATGCGTCCAAAGAGGAGCCCGGACAGCAGACGGCCGACGAGCAACAAACAGCAATTGAGCCTAACGAAGGGGAGGGTCAACAGGCCGTGCCAGAGGGTGAGGGAGAGGGCAAGGGCGAGGGCAGCGGCGAGGCAACTCCGGCCAAAACCGATGAGGAGCTGGCACTGGAAAAACAACTGGCCGATGTGCAAAAACAGCTCGCAGCGCTGTCCTCGCTGCCGTCCACCATACAATCGACCCTGGATGCGGTGACCAAGCAGCTGGCCGAGCTGCTGCCCACATTCAAGCTGCAGCAGCAACAGCAGCAGCAGCAGCAGCGGGACGAGGAGCAGCCGGATGGCCAGCACGAAGGTACTGGCTGGAAAGTTATGGCCGAGGTTACAGTAATTAAATTTTTCTAATGGCACATTTTGCATACTTTCCCAACTACGCACACACACTAACACACACACAGGCATGTCGAGCTCTGCGGCCGACAAGGAGCAACAGCAGGTGCAGCCGGAAGAGACAGCACCTGAAAATAATGAGGATAAATGCGATGCCAATGACCGAGAAGTGGCAGAAATTTCGCTCTCGAATGGCGACAATCGCCAACTGGAGGAACATCAGGAGCAGCAGAAGCAGCAGCAGGAGCAGCTCGACGAGGAGCTAAGCTTCAAGAAGCAAAAGGTGAGTGTGAAAACTAATGCAAAGACTCAAGCCTAGAGTATATGTAGGGTATATATAATATGTATATAGAGAGCAGTGTATATAATACCATAACATATGAAACTATCCGTCCGTCCGTTCGTCCTGCTGGTTCCTGCACAGACACCTTTTCGTGCAGCTGCAAACTATGCCAACAGCTTTCCATTGGAAATCGAATTAAACGCTTGGGATCTCCGAGGCCGATTCGTTATTCCTGCATAACTCAATCTAGAGCTTAGAAAATTTCAAAGTTTCCCAACAAATGTCGACTAAGACTTTGTTTGGCCTTGAGTTGGTCTTAAATTGTTTTCCTTTTCGGTCTGTTTTTCTTAGCCTCATCTTTGTTTCATCTTGTTGGTGGCCAGCTGTGCCTCATCTCAGTTGGGTCAATCTTTTTTTCCCTCTCTTCTTCTTACTTTTTTGTCACTGGGCTTTTTCCTGGCCATTTCCCGCGCCCAACTCCACAAATCAAATTAACTAAAATGCCTTTTGGTTTTTGTCTTTTTCTACTTGCAGCATAATGTGCGCTTCCAAGTGTAGTTAGCTTAGTTAGCTTAAATCGAGTTTAAATTTTGATAAATTGCCAACGCATACACACACATATATATATGTATATAGAGTATATATGTAGTGTATGTAGACATATCAACTGCCAGTTAAATAAATGAGTTCCAAAAGCAAATCGAATCAGAGTCTGAGTCGCAGCGCCGGGGCAGAAAAAGGCAGAAACCAAAGACAATTAGTAGGCAGCGTGACAGCCAAACAAACAGGAAAAAAATAAAGAAAAGTGAAATGAAAAGAAAGGAAAGAAAGCAATGAAAAACCATGAAGAAAAACCAACGCATATAACCCGAAACGACTGCAAATTTGCACTACCTCAACTTCCCTCTCTCTCTCTCTCTCTTTCACTCACTCCCACTCTCTGTCTCTCTCTCTCTTTCTTTCTCCTACTCTATAAATGAAAATCTCTTAACATCTTCTTTGTATTCCTTTGGGCTGCTGCGTTGCGTTGCCTCGCCTGGCACTCTCTCTCTCTCTCTCTCTCATTCTCTCCATGCTTGTGTGTGTGTGTGTGGGGCATGTTTTTTGGGATGTGATGTGACATGCCAGAAACACAATGTCATTGAGGAGCTGGAGGAGCATTTGGTGCGCAAAAACAATCCCAGACGTTCGAAGCGCGCCTTTGGTCCCCTAACGCCATCATCGGAGCGTCCTCTGGTGCTGCCCGGCGGCAGGCGCTGGTATCGACCCAAGGATGCCTACAATGATGAATTCATTGCCGAAACTCTTAGCGCCCAGGCGGAGCTTATCACTGGCAGCACACTGGGGTGGGTACTCTGGCGGCAGCTCTATCACTTTTGTACCTTGTGCTGTTCGCATTCCCACATCTCTCACTCTCACTCTCACTCTCCCACGCTCACGCTCACTCTCAATCTCTGATCAGCATCCGCATCCATCCGCTCTGCAATTCACAATGCTTAATGCCATATTGTGCCCCGGCTGGCATTGGCTTTGCCTTATTGCCATCATAATGCCATATTGCCATAGCCACCGCACTGGCTCAACCCGTTCCCCATCCATCGACTCATCTGGCATATACTCTCACTCTCACTCTCATATCTCGTCTCTCATCTCTCGTCTCTCATTTTCCATGGCTCGCTTACATCAACGCACAATCGTCCGGCTTCATAATTTTGCGCATTAGCAGCTGCTGCCCCTACGAGAGCCCGTTGCTCGGCTACGATGCCAGGTATTACTTTGCTAGAGCATGGCATGGCTGGTGACAGCAATTCTATTCAGCATCCTCCCCTCGGCATCCCGCCCTCACATTACACAGCCCGCATCCATCAGCTAGCACAAAAGGATGCACTTTCATTAACATTATCATATTGAACGATTGTCTGTTGCCATCTCTCTCTCGCTCTCGCTCTGTCTGTCTCTCTCTCTCACTCTGTTTAATTTCTGTGTGTGCTTGGCTTGTAGTTGATTTGACTTTTCCAGTTGCAGTTCCAGTTGCAGTTGCAGCTCCTCTGGCATTCCAGTTCTTCTGCTGCTTTTGCATCTCTCTTGCTGTGCTTTGGCTGTAGTCCTTATATGCATGCTTACGTTTGCTTCTGTCTCGTCTCGTTTCTTTTGCAGATTGCATTTTGGAATCGCTTGTTCAATGGCGAGCACATAACACGCCAGCGCTTCAGGTAAGTTTCAGCTGCAACTTACCTATGCAACTTAAGCTCGCAACTTCGAATGCAACTTTCATTGTTAATAACTCGAAGAGCCTCTGCTTGCATTCCGTCGGTCCGCCCTAGTCTTGTACTTAACCACTGGGGGCAATGCATTGGCTTCAATTTCGGTAACGACTACGTGTACATTTACGTGAATACACTGGACAAAAGGGTGGGCAAACGGGTATATTCGTTCTGTAAATCTGCACTTTGCAGTTAGCTAAAAGCTAAGAAAGAGCTATATGCCAAACAGTAGTACAAATATATATAGTCCTAGTATATCACAGTTTGACAATCATTGCTTTAGCCCCAGATTCATAGTTAACAGAGAAGAGTTAACATGCTGCATACTCAAGCAGCTTAACTCCACAGATCTACTCAAATATATAGGTGCCACGCCCCCAACACCTACATATTACATATACAGTTTGACAATCACTGCTTTAGCTTCACAGCCTTCATCAAGTTGCGCACAGAGCATCCAAGCAGTCGGCTATGGCCGCTTGCAACGCTTGTATTTTTTTTTCTCGTTTCTGGTTACGTTTTTGCCTCGTTCTCGGTTCGATTCATCGGCCGCAGGGAGCTGCAGAGCCTCAGCGTGGCAAAGGCAGCACACAGGTTAGTTTGTCACATGGTTCATTGCATGGTCCCTGGCCACGGGCGAAGCTCTCTGGCTCAAGAGCTTCAACGTGACCAGCAGCACTTATTAAAATGCACATGCATGTCTGCCATTCCCCCCACTTTTCCTCTGGCTTTTGCTCTCACCATCCCCCCCTTTCCAGCGTTCCACTCTGTATGTTGTTTAAGCACTTTAGCTTTGATTTGACTTTTCGTAGGGTCAACTTCATGAAGTACCAAAAGCCGGAGCGCAAAATCGACCTAAATCGCAGCGAGGTATATAAAGTCATACATCATCTGGATCGTGCACCTGTCCGTGGCATTGAGGTGCGTGCACCACTCGTGGCAGCCGAATCGGATATACGCCAAGCGTTGCAGTCGTAGAATTCCCATTAAGCAGTTCTGTTCAACCAATGTAATAATATTCTAAGCAGCTCGACAAATATATAGATGAAAAACTATGAATATGTGCGGGCTTAAGTATTTGCTTGTTGTTATTGTTGTTGTTGTTGTTGTCGTTGTTGCTAATGTGTTATTACATAATTTGTGAGTGTGTGTGCGTATGTGTGTGTTTCTGTGCAGCACGGCGTATGTGTAATATGCCAAGTGTCAAACGGCTGCGAATTGTTATGCATGTTGGCAGCCGCAGGGCGCTTGCTCTTGCAATTTTCTTTTGCATAAACACGCGACACCCACATACACACTCTCTCACTGTGTGTGTGTGTGTGTGTGTGTGTGTGTGACATGCTTTTGGAATTTGCATATGTTAAAGTAAATGAATTGGGCTGTAAACGAAATGAAACCAAATTGCAAAATGACAGCCAGCAGCACAATATAACAATAAACTCGTATTTATGTAGTTATGAGCACACACACACACACACACACAGATGGTATATCAAGTTCAGATTCGAAATGGTTGTCACGTTATGCCGGGTCGAAGGTTGCGCACATTTCACTTGCCCTCGGTCACAGGCACGCATAAGTATGCGGATACTATGGTTATATTCGCGTTAACGCACACGGATATCAAATTATTAGCCATTTGTTTTTTTTTTTATTATTTTCCTCTTCTTGTATTTTTGCTTCTTTGACTTTCGTTAAAAGTCGTAAAAACGCGCCAAGTACGCGAAAGTTATGATTAGATTACGTTGCGGACTCGCACTTCGCTCAGCACTCGGCGACGTGACTTTGATGGCGTCTCGTCCTGAACTGTCACTGTCACAATATGTTGGCATTTTGACTTCGCATTATCACTGAAGTTGGCGCTGGCGCCCAGTCCCCACACAACATGTTGGCATAGTCCTTTGAGTGGAGTTGAGTTGCGTTTCACTCGAGACTTGGGACAGCTTTCTATGTTGGCCACAGCGAGCTTTTCAACAGCAGCGAGCTTGAGTCGAACGTAGCCGAGCTTTGACGGTGTTTTGTGCCAGATGAAATTAGTAACAGGCCAGCCTCAACTCAAGCATGTTGGCTGGCTAAAGGAAAAACAGCATTTTCGTTGTAATAGGCTCAAAACTTAATTAAAAATCATTGTAATATGCCAAAAATATTATAATAAAATCTAATATTCCAAAGACTAAATGTATTCAGTTTTAACTTAAAAGTTCGAAAAGGCTTAGCTAGGTATTTAAGAAACTTATTCACAACGTCAGCCATGAGGATCAAGCGTCTATTCTTTACAAGAAGTTTCTGTGCTAAAGCATTTGTATGCTTCACTTCATAGCTGCACTCAGTGTGTCGCTCACTCATATTAAATACTGAAAGGTAATTCCATCATAACCAATGGCATTGATCGAGAGCAATAGCTAAACGACAAATTGACCAATGAGCAATATTTGAGCTGCAGACATGAAATAGCTCACTACATTTTATACACGCACACTAAACGAGCAAAGAGAGCGGCAGCACGAGCCATTCCATTTACTTATAACGGCGCCTAAGCGATCGATGGACCAATGGCGTAGGAGCAGCAGCCATCAATTAGCTCTTCTCTTTGTCTCACACGCTCGTCTCGCGCTCTTCACACATGAACAGGATCGTGAGTAGCAGCAAAGTTCGTTCGCTAACTACAAGCTATCTGTCTCACTCTAACCCTTACGCTTATATACGCACATTTGGTTGTCCATTTTCTGCAGCTAAAGCAAACGACATTTGATTTAGTTTTATGTTTTATTTTGAATTTGAATTAAACAAACTAGACAACAACTACTTAAGAGTAAGTATCGTACGAGTACAAGTACATGCAAGTTACATAAAAATAGGTTAAGTTCGTAATGCCAGTCGCACCGAACGGATATATGTGTATATATGTATGTATGCTTTAATTTAAATCGGATTACGACTAATAAGACAATAAGTATAGGTAATTCCAAAAAAAGGCAAAAACTTACAGCAGCTACGTCACAACGGGGCGTTCACTTTAGAAGTGTGCGCTAAGCGAAGTACGCAAAATTTAGTTTTATGTTTTTTCTTGTTCTCAATAAATTTCTATTCAATAAATTTAATATTTTTAAAACTTTTTATATATTTTTTTGTTTATATATATATATATATATTTTGTGTAGTTAAATCTTTTTTTTTTTTGGGGATTTTAGTTTGTGTGTGTTTGACACTAATTATCACTACGCCAGTAGAAGCCAAATAGTTTGATTTTGTTTCTAAGAATGCTTCTTCGTGTTCATTGCTCTTTCGATGAGACTAAACCGAGTTTATTATTGTAAATATAGTTATATATATATACATATATATATAGATATATATACGTGTGTGTATGTATGTATATGCAAATTTATTTATTGCTAATAATACGCGAGAAACGAGCAAATAATCAACGAGAATAAATCAAATATACATACATATATGTATGTTCTCACTTTTCACTTATCATTTTCATGTGTATGTGTGAGGCAAAGTTTTCGTCTTTGTTTTTGTTGCTTCTATTCTCATAAATAGTTTTTTGTGTTTTGTTTTTTTTTTTTTTCGCTAAGCAAACATTTTGTCATAAGGCATAAATGCGGGTCCTCGGTGCACACCAGATGCTTAACGAACGTGAGTCTTTTCTTTGAATCTCTTGTTCAGAATCGCTCATTGGTTATCAGTTTGAAGTAATCCGTTATCGGTCATCGACTATCATTTATCGGTTATTCAGCTACGAATTGGTACTTGTATTTAGCACACCACGTCGCGTGGCTCATGCCTTCTTTCCCTTTCATTTCCTCTTTAGGTACAACGTTTTCTCTATCCACTTGAGTTTTCAGCTCTGCCACCCACCTCAATCAGCTGTGACCCTTACAATCTAATAGGTTTTCAGGTGTGTTTCTCCTTTTTTTGTTTCTTTGTTTACTTTTAGGCTACATCCTTCTCTCTAAATACTAATGCAGGTAGTTCGTTAACACGATCACCATAAATTTCTCACAAACGATTTGTGTTTGTATTTGTTGCTGGTTTTGTTGCTGTTGTTGTTGTTGTTGCTTTGTTTGCTTTTGTTGGGACGCGGCTTGGCTTTAATACTTTGAATACTTAGATTAAAAAACGAACTAATTAAATTTGGCCTAAACCTGAGCTCGGACATGGTCCGACTACAGTTGCACCTAAGTCACTAAGCTGGTATGGTCGTCTGCTCGTAGAAGTCGGGCTCATCCTCATCGGCCTTGACCTCGCTGCCATCCAACTAAGGGAAGCGTAAAGAAAGATGATATTCAATTATTACAAATTTTTACAAGTTTTAGATTAGATTAGATTGGATTGTGCCATTTACCGCTTGCAATTCCTCTGGCTTATAGATCGAACCCAAGAGCTGTCGTATGGGCACCATCAGTATGAGGAAGAAGGGAAAAGCCAGTGAGAACTTGGATGACTTGACCGTCCACAGGACAACCAGGCAGAGCACCTGTATGGCCGTAAACAGATTCATCTTCCAGGGTCGCACACGCTTCACGTAGTTTGTGGGTGGATAGTGCTTGACTGGCATGAAATACAGTCTTATGCTGGAATACAAGAATCGAAACAGTTTAGCACAGTTCTCGAGGGCTTCAATCGATCCTTGCTAACCGTTCAAAGAGCTGCACGCCACTCATCGAGGCCACGCCCATATAGAGAAAGACGCCAAAGAGCACGGCCATGGGTATGAGTCGAAGCAGCGGCGCCATCAGCACCGACAGCCCGATCATGACGCACACAAAGAAGCCGGACAAACGCTGCTCCTTCACGTCAATGATGCGCGGCGATTCACCGGGTGCGTGAGTCCTGCACAGATCAGAAGATGAAGAAGTGAAATAGTTAGTCATGCTCTGAAGAGCAGCGAGATCAGGAGTAGTAGGTATACCCACCGAGACATAATTGTCACAGACGAGACATGGGTCACGGATCGCACGGTGGCTGCGCAATGCCAGGGCATGCCGAAGAGGCCGCAGAAGGTGTTCAGCAGGCAGAGCAGCACAATGTCCCAGTGCAGGCCGGAGCCCTTCTTGAGGCCGCGGTCGGGCTTGTCGACAATCAGCTCGGATATCTGGGACTCCATGAAGATCAGGATGTAGACCAGCAGAGCTGGCACCGCACAGGCGAACGGCACCCAGGTCTCGCACGGATTGAAGCCAATGAACCAGCCGCGGCGCACCGGATCGCTGGGCGACAGACCCTCGGGCACCACCAGCTTCTCGGTGTAAACGGACGGCACCAAATAGTCGACCAGCACGAACATGGCTATGGAAATGGGCACGCCGAAGTCGCCCAGCGCACGGCGGGCGTTGCGGCCGAGGAAGTGCGAGTTGCGGAAGAGTTTCAGGTAGTAGGCAACCACAAAGGTGGCCAGAGTCAGTATGGTGCAGAAGAGCGCCGTGTTGGGCTGGTTCGTGGGTATCTTGGGCAGCGCTGGAGGCGCCACTGTGGAGCTGGCGTTCACCAGAGTCACGCTTGCATTGAAGTTCGTCATATTGTGCTGCACCAGCGTCGGCGGCGGCAGATTGTAGTCGGGCAGCAGCGGATTGAGCTTGTAGATGGACACCAGCTTCATCATAGTCTCCACAATGTAGATGAGCGTGATCAGCGCCGAGAAGATCTCCTGCGTGAACCGCGTCAGCAGCCGCACATAGACGCTGCCCTCGAAGGCGGACACGCACAGCGCTATGATGATCAGCCACACGCCCACGTAGACGCGCACCGATAGAAAGTCGAAGTGGTACTCGTTGCAGAACACAATCAGCGCCTCATCGAAGAGCAGCAGCGGTCCGGTGGTGCCAATGATGACGAGCGGCTGGCAGGACAGACAGTGGAAGACGATGCCCACCAGGGAGCAGGCAATCAGCGTCTCCGGTATGCCGATCCAGTTGTCCGTCTTCGCCGAGGCCAGGCCACCGAAGGTGATGGCCGTCGATAGGCAGGCGAAGTACATGAAGATGGTGGCCGCCAGTGTCTCCGTGTTGAGTCCGTCGCGTATGTCGCTCTTGTACATGGGCATGCGACGCTTCAGGTCGTTGCACAGGCCGCCCCACAGTCGATGCGTCTTGTCCAGGGGACTGGGGCGCTTCTTCTTGCCATCGTCGTCGTCGTCGTCGTCGCCATCGCCGCCGGGGCCACCTGGGCCGGTGATGGCGCCCAGTGCCTGCTTCTCGAGCAGCGCCTTCTCCTCATCCCTGCCGATTTTGATCATCTCGCTGTCGCGCTTCACCTGCAGCGCCTTGATCTTGCGCGTGCGAATCCAGTCTTTCTTGGCCTTCAGCTCGTCGAAGGGCAGCAGATCGTGACGGTCCCAGTTGCCAGGCGGCAGCACAATGGAATCATCCAGGAACTCGTTGATGGCCGACAGCAGATCGCGGCGATCGTCCGCCTTGTAGGCAATGGCATGGAAGTGCTCGTTGGCCATCAGCGTGGAGATGGAGCGACCCACCTCATGGTAGTCCAGATCGAAGTTGCGCGGACCCAGCAGCACGAACATGAAGCGCACCGGCACGGGCACCTCCGTCAGTGTGGGCATCAGCACGCCCTCCGACAGACGCACAAAGGCGATTGTGGGCTGCTCGAGGAACTCCACGGCGCCCACCTGCGAGGGTGTTCAGATCAGTTAAACCTTTCGCAGATATCTATTTAATGGAACTTACCAACACTGTCGTAGCCTCGGCTCCGGCGGGTATGCGCTTGAGGATGGTGTCATTCTGCAGCTTCTTGAGATCCTCCTGCGAGGAAGAGTACATGTCGTCCTTCATGTCGATCTTGAGCTCGTTGCTGCGCTTGCTGCCGCCAATCTCGCTGGCCGGCATTATCTTGATCTTCTTGTCATCCGTGCTGCCCGAGAGGTTCTGTGTGGGCGAGCC